CAACTTGTATGTAAATGAACCGGCGTGGCCTGGGACTAGGCGCAGGGAGACGGACCAATGCATGATCTTGCTCACGCGCCGTTCGCAACAAAACCCGAACGGTGAGGTAGAGGTAAACGAGTCCGCAAACGGACTGCTGGACTAGTTCAGGCAGGGCAACGAAATTTCCTGCCTGATTCGCCATCGACTAGGCATCAATTAACGCCAAGGTTGGCTATACAAAACAGGCGGCGGCGAGGTCAAGAATATCAAAAGGAGATGAATTTATCCACGGGGAATCTACGACTAGCCAAATTTAGTAAGCTAAGATTCAGTCAAGCACGATTTGAGCAAACTTGCGGTTGAACCTGCTACCCGGAGACACTCCCCTGGATGCCCACTGTCCTTCATTGAGATCCTTCCGGGGAAACCCATAAACTGGATAACGCACCAATCCTGGGAACACACCCCTCAACCCACTCTATCCTGTGCCACATTCGGGGTCTCGTAGAGCTTCAACGTGTCCCTCTCTGAGAGGTCGTGTTTGGCGACAAAGGCGGAGTCGATGTCGTGACGCAATGAAAGCAGAACCCACTGGACCGAAGCGCGAGGCGGGCGAGCAAAACCGCGCCATCCATTCCCATAACCGTGAAAGTGACAAAGGAAAGGTCGATTGAGGCTTGCTGTTGCCCTGAGACTTCCTGAAAGAGTTGGAGAGATCCGGCAATGTGACGACGGAGAGAATGACCACATAATCACACGGGAAAACCTACCGAACCGTCGAATGAGTTCAACTTGGTCCCTGGTAACTCTGGCAGACCCCCAACGTCGTCGGCTGTAGCGGCCGCACCAGGGCCAACTTCAACCTCCTACTCTGGAGGCCTCTCTGGTTTCTCGAAGATGCTGACCTCCACTCGACGGGAAGACTTCGATAGTTTGACGACTTTTGGTGTAGCCTCGCCCCCAGGGTGGGAACTCGAACTCAGGAGCCGGCATAGGTGGCCACCTCCTACAGGGGCATGTCCGGTTCCGGTTGCGATTGCTGAGCTGACGAGGGGTGGCGTTTACAGCAAAAAGGCGAATGCGGAGAACACGATGCAACAGGCGTGAGAAGCTCAGGTTATGAAGCTACTAGTCCTAACCGACAGACACTCCCCACGAAATGTTGGGTCAAGTATGGTTTTGCTCCGAAGGGCGCTATAGGCCCACTTCGATTGTTATCCGTATGCACTTGACCGTCTCCGTCTCCAAAAGCCCCATCTCGTTCTCTGTTCGAAAACTCACATCTTGCAATCTTGTCTGCACGTCCACCTCGTCTGTCTGGGGTGCTCTACTCCCTTCGCGCCTTTTCGACATTGAACGGCTGTCTCCGGTGCTCGATTCAGAGAAGTCGGGACTGCGCCATCCAAGATTCCATTTGCCTGTCTCACCTGTCGGATCGTGGTCAGGCCCGGGGAGAGAAAAGGCCCGTTTGAACCACGACGTCTTGGTGGGACGGGGTGGCAATTGAGCTTCTGGTGTAGGTTTGACTTGGAACTGTGGTTGGAGCTGTGATTGAGGTTCAGATTTTTTATCCCGTCTCTTAGATCGTGTCTCCTCTGCTGCGGATGGATGGGAGAGCTCTCTCTTGAACAAGGAATCCAGCTCTTCAACCACTGCTTGCTGTGTCCAGAAGGAGGAATGATTCTCGGCTCCGGAAAGGGCAATGACGAACCCGGTGGTCTGATGGCTGGGTATTGAGGGAGAAACAATGTTCTCCTCGGTCAGAGTTCTTGTCGACTTTAGGATTTCCGCTGGAACGACAACGATGGTAACATGGCTGCACAGGTTGGACACATTAGTTGCCAAAAAGGGTATGAGAGACCCTACGACCAGCTCGTAGATACGTCGAGTACGCTGTTGGCGGATCAAGGAGGTGCTCGACGCTGCTCTCGTTCTTGAGTCCTGGGCCGATGTTTTGGGTGAGTTAGCGACGGCCTCTTCATAGCTGGGGATGCCATCGCGGAGGTCCATGTCGAAGGGCGTCGTGGACATGCCGAGGGGAGGAATGCTCCACGGAGGCGAGATTGGACGGATATGGGTATGCCCGATCTGTCGTAGGGGTGTGGTGTTGCTGTGTTGCTGTGGGCGGGAGAAAAAGATAATAAGGTAGATTGGTAGATTGTGTGTTGGTGAGAAAAGTGCCAGCGCTACGAATCAAACGATATTGATGGGAGAGGGCTTAATATGTCCCTCCTCGAAAGGCAGATGGCGAGAGCCAAACTAAGCGGACGGGACAGCCTGGGAAAAGTCAAAAAGGAAAGAAAAACATGAGGAATGCTTCCCGTCGATGAGAGAAGGGTTATGGCTAGAAGCCGCCACCCCCC